TATATATATATATATGTCTCAAATCAACTAATGAAACCTCAAGGGTATTTTCTCCCAAATTTCTAGAAAGGCAGTCAAAATATTAACAAAACATAATTAACATTTATTTCACTTGGTAACATCAGCTGTGGATCAATTGTTTATGTAAAACAGAGATTCACTTTTTAAATCTATAAGAAAATCAGAGCATATTTTTAATAATTTTAAAGTGCTATCACAGCATACCACTGTTGATAGAAAAAAAAAATCTGGAAGAAATAATAATCTGAACTTTTAGTGAGGCAACCACCAACATTCCTTCCTGTAAGAATCTCCTCTGCACTGATCCTAATTAATGGTAGTTCACACTCCAGCATGTTGAATGGAAATCTCACTATTACAAAAGATAAGTCTTTCCATTATTGGGAAGTACTGTTTACAAAAACCGGCTTTTCTAAGCTACAGACTGTACTCATTGTTTCTAATTCTGCAATATGGAAATAACTGAGGTTTTCTCCCCTCATTCATCTAACAGCTTTATGATGTTAAATGCTACAAAATGTTGAGGATGACTTTAATATTAATACCCAGGCCTTCCTTTCTCATCCCAATTCCTTATATAATCCATATTTGACAAGGTTTCTAGGTTCTTGTACTTGCTGGCTATGCTTCTAGGCTTCCTCTTTCTTGTCAATATCCCTCTAGAAATATAAGATATCCAAGAACAACTGGATGAAAATATGATGAAATTAAATTTCTATACAATGAAGTGAACCTCTGTATCTCTCTGAGTTATAACCATGATTTCATTATCAAATCCTTAGTTATGAAGGTACTCCATACTTGGGAGAAAACAGGACCCATTTTATAATATTTTACTACTCCATTTGTACAAATGCACTGTAATAAAAAGTTGAGAAAGCTGGTACACTGTGAACAGATTTCTTGAAAAAAATGCTTTGAAAATTGGTTTTTTATTTTTACAGAACTATTACAAGGAATATTATTAATGTAGTCTGATATCATTACAAATTTCATCAAGCCCTAGTTGGTTTGGCTCAGTGGATAAAGCGTTGACCTGTGGACTGAAGGGTCCCGGGTTTGATTCTGGCCAAGGGCATATGCCTGGATTGCGGGCTCAATCCCCAATAGGGGACATGCAGGAGATAGCCAATCAATGATTGTCTCTCATCATTGATGTTTCTATCTCTTTCATCCTTTCCTCTCTGAAATCAATAAATATATATATTTAAAACAAACACACTGACAAAAAAACATCAAAAGATATAAGCTTATGACCCAAAGTTTTAAAAGATTTTGTTTTATGATCTCTTTTCAATAATTATATTACCTGGTACCATAATCCACAACCACCCAATCTTTTGCGGTTCCTGTGATAGCATCATGATGTTGAAACAGTCCCACATTCCTTCTGGCTTCTGTAAGCGCCGTATAAGAGGATGATGAAAGAAATGCATTTATCTTGTATTTCTGAGCTTGTTTCAGGGCGAAATAGTAGAGAATTTCAGCAGCCCTAAATGCATAAAATAGTCATTAATTTTTATTTCAAAACAATCACTTTAGTTTGCTATCTAAAATATGTTGCATTGATACATTTTCAAATGTGACTTAAAAATCCACAATTTCAGTACAATTTATAAGAAAGGTATTGATAATAAACATTTGTATTATACCACCAAGGTATCTATCTAATAAATCTATATCCTCAATCATCAAAGAACATAATTTTCCTGTTGATACAAATGGCTCTCATTGTAGATGGGTCTGGAAAGAAACCAGTACACACTGGCAGCAAGATAGGCTTATTTATGAATAACATCAGGAAAAAATATCTCAGCAAAGCAGTAAGAACGTGATAAATGTTTTCTTCCTTTCTTCTCTCCAAGAGCAGTGAAGACATATGCCATGAACTTCATCACCAGAAAGCTATTTACTCTCACAAATGTACATTAAGAGGAGAGGCAGTGGGAAAACGCACATTACAGGAATGGGAGGCGAACAGTAAAGGAGAAGCAGAAAATGATGGCTTGATTGCTCAGTGACAAGAGCTACTCTAAATGTTGAATAATAACATGCAACTATAGAGAATTTAACAATAAAAACTGAAAGATGACAGACACACTCTGGCTTTTCTTGTTTATTTTAAAGAATAAAACACTTTAGCTTTAAGAATAGCTTTTGAGCAAGAACATGGGAGTATATAATTTTCACCTTTTATCTTTTTTTCATCAGAGGATATGATTCAAGATAGGTTTAAAAATTCTTTAAAAAGAGCCATGGCTTGATGGAGTAAAAAATATAAGAAGGTTCTCTATGCAAAACATGTTAAAGATGATGGGAAGAAAATCAAGGTGGCTTGCAAATGTATTAAGATCCCAGGAAAAAGAGGAGATTTTCAGTGCTTTTTGAAAACAATAAATTCCTTTAAATTGTTGAAATAATGAAAAGATATTAAATAATCTATTTTTACATTCTAACCCTTCTGAAATTTACAGCATAAGAACTACTAAATTTGTATTATTAAAGAATTTGTGTACATATGTTTATACATATTCTCAGCAACTACTGGTTTTGAAAAGAATATATATATATACCAAAATGTAAGAAAGTGGACTTTAAGAATATTTATTCCTTATACTTTACTTTTTTATTAAAATTTTAATTTGTAAACATTGTATGTTTACAAATGAGCATTAGGATAAAATATTACTATTATGAGATAATAAACTTATTTTCTTTTTTTTTAAATATATTTTATTGATTTTTTACAGAGAGGAAGGGAGAGAGATAGAGAGTTAGAAACATCGATGAGAGAGAAACATCAATCAGCTGCATCCACTGAGCCAAACCGGTTTCGGCAACTTATTTTCAAATAAATTAAATTATGAAATTCACAATTACACATATATATTTTAATGATTTTTTGTTTACAGAGGAAGGGAGAGGGATAGAGAGTTAGAAACATCTGATGAGAGAGAAACATCAATCAGCTGCTTCCTGCACACCCCCTACTGGGTATGTGCCCGCAACCAAAGTACATGCCCTTGACTGGAATCGAACCTGGGACCTTTCAGTCCGCAGGCCGATGCTCTATCCACTGAACCAAACCAGTCAGGGCTCACAATTATATTTTTATTGTTCATTTTAAAGCAGTAGAATTTTCAAATTATATTACCCATAGTTACTACTTCATCTTCAATATGTTCAATAAGTTAATATTGACCCAACATTCATAACTCTTTGCTACTAAAAAACAGTTGACACTTAAAAATCTATCATAATCGGGCTCGGTTTTTGTCATAGATAGTTCAGAATACCCTAACAGAGTACTAACAGTCTACTCAGTAAAATGTATAAATCTCTATGAAATATACTGTTTCATTACAAATACAGAAATAATGTATTCATCTGGCGCACTTGTGAATATCCAGTCAAAAATCATTAAGCTTTTGTAATAATAAGAGTACCACAACAGTAAAATAATAAAAACACATTATTATACCAATGTACAACTCTTTAAGAAATTCATGTTTTTTATATAAAGGCTTCCTAAAATGTATTGTTCCCACTAGTATATAAAAGAGCATAGATATGATATAGCTTTTTATTTTTAATACTGAAATTTGTCATGAAAATTAATCATCATCAATTCATGATTTGAACCGAACTGAAAATGAATTCATTATGAAAATTAATTACTCTCCTGGGTTACACATACATACAAATCCCTGGGATGATTCATTTTTATCAAAAACAAGACTCAGTTAAAACTGTGCTTCTCCACTGTGATAGCCACTGGCTACATGTCGTACATGCATTTGAATTTACTAAAATTAAATAAAATTAAGATTTCAGTTCCTTAGTCACACTGGTCACATTTCAAGCGCTTGACAGTGTGGCTACCACACTAAACAGTACAGAAACAGAGTATTTCTATCACTGCAGAATGTTCTATTGGACAGTAACTAAAAGTTCTACTGGACAAGGCTGGTATAGAACGTTTGCATGTTTTCTACTGACATTTGTTTTCTCCATGTAAGTTTATTTTTTTCACTCTGCCTCGATTATTTCTCATCTCTTAAAAGTTTTATTCTTCTAAGCAGAAAAGTGCACCTATAGAAATGTGTTTCAAATAAAATAAGAACTGAGATGAAGCCTCTAAAGTTCTCCTACCAACAAAATACATTCATTTTAGAGTATGTACTTTGAGGCTCACATTTTGGCTACTGAGAGGCCCTATTTGCTCCTTTTGATTCACGCCCATTTCCAATAATTTAGCCAGATTACTGACCTGTAGACAAACATGACAATGCCACTGAATATTATCATTGTGTGCCAATATAGGCAATTAATTAGAAAAATATAAAATACATAATACAACTCCCAGAAAAAAATTATTACATAAACTGCTTTTCCTTCCAGAACAAAAACTCATGCAATAATTTGATTATGCTTTGGAGACATAGCTCTGATTTCATTAAAACTTCACAATTACATTAAATACATCCTGACACTCCATAAATGTTTTATATTACACAAAACTCTACAGAAGGCTATGATAATGTAATAGAAGTAAGTAACTAAATGCATCTATCTAAAGGTAAATGTACCTTAAGTGGGATTCCAATATTCTATCCATTCGTTTGTAAAAAGGTCTGGATGTAAAGTAGCCACTCCAGTAATGATCGTCTCGGTCAGCGTAAGTGAAAAAATCTCCACTTAGAACAGGGAACAGCGACTGGCTATTCATTCTACTAGCTGCATCTTCTTTATCCAGGGCATCAAAGTAATCTGATAAAGTTCCAAACTGAATCTAGTAAAAATAAATTACACTTCAATTATTCATAGTTACCTTAAAATTACTGTTGCACTACAATGAAAAGTTTCTAATAAATACTTAAGGTAAGCCTCCAAGTAAATTAAGGACAACATAAAGAACAGAATTTATTTTAAATTACAGTTTTCTCTAGCTCTAGAGTCTAGTTTAGGATTTTAAATAATGCCAAAAAGCAACTGTTTATTCCGTAAAAATATTTAAAGTAGAAAACAATGTAATTTATCTGTCATTAAAAAGCAAGAATATTTATTTAGTGGGGGCAATTTAAATAAATTTATTTATATAACTAGAGGCCTGGTGCATGAAATCCATGCATGGGGGGTGGGGGAGTCCTTCAGCCCAGCTTGCACCCTCTCTAATCTAGGACCCCTTGAGGGACATCCCCCTCACAATCCGGAACTGCTGGCTCCTAACCACTTGCCTGCCTGCTGACCTGATCGCCCCTAACTGCCACCCCTCACTGGCATGTCACCCCCTAACTCCTCCCCTCTACTGGCCTGATCTCCCCTGACTGCCCTCCCCTGCTGGTCTGATTGCCCCTGACTACCCTCCCCTGCCAGCCTGATTGCCCCTGACGTGGTTGACCACCCCTGCAGGCGTGATCGCGTGATCGACCCTGACTGCTCTCCTCTGCCAGCCTGATCACCCCTAACTGCCTCTGTCTCAGCTCCTGCCACCGTGGCTTTGTCTGGAAGGGTGATCCAGTCTAATTAGCATAGTACCGTTTTATTAGTATAGATATGCATACCTCATCAACACAGACAGTAGTGTGATGAAGGCCTGGGAAGGGAGGGGACAGGGTGGAGGAGGTAAAAGGGAAAAAAAGGAGGATATCTCCTTCCAACAATAAAAATAAATTTTAAAAAATGTAGCTCAGATTTTACAAAACTCAAAAGCAGGGGGGGAAATACTCATGACTCTTTCTTTTACTGGCATCAAGTCCCAAATTACACTAGGAGAAAACTTGTACAACTAACCATTTAGAAGAAGAGCTATTTAGATCTACAAATCTGTGGATCTGAAAACTCCTTACATATCTGTAGAATTTCAAAAAGTTCAATGATCAGGACATGGAATAATTCAGAAATGAAAGAAAGATGGGGAAACATCCTTTATATAATAAAGAGTTAATATGCTAATTAGACCAAAGAGCAGAACGACCATCCAGACGATCTTCTGGATGTAGCCAGGCCTACGAGGGCTGGCTGGGGCTGCAAGGGCCGGCCGGGGCTGAGAGGGCTGGCCAAGGCAGCTGAGACTGTTAGGTTCAAGCCCCCTGCACAAATTTCGTCATAAATAAAAGACATATTTTGAGCAAAATATTCCAAAAGTCTAGAATAGTAAGTTTTGTTAGTCATTAAGTACTTCATTATGTCATATACGCATACCCTCCCCTGGTCTCCCCCTCCTCTCAGTTTGAGTTCCTATAAGGGAGAAGGGAGGACTTCAGGAACAGCAGGTCATATTTTGAAAAAGGACTTTATCAGCAGGTAACACAACACCGAATAGAGAAGTACAACACAGTGTCAGGTTGATTGTTCAGATGAATAGGTCTTTCTGACAAATGATTCAAATTTCCAATACATAAATACATTTTTACAAGAACAAACTATTCTATAAATCAAAAGAAAAGAGAAACATTGTATCAGACCTTGTAAACAAATATTAAAACACAGTATTTTTTAGAAATAAACAGAGAATTCAACAGGGAATGTTATCCTTTTAATAGAAAAATGCTAATTTTGTTGTTTCCTATGAGAGAGAGAGAGAGACAGAGAGAGAGAGAGAGATATTAAAAGCTATTTTGATTCAGTGTGGCAGAAAAAGAAAAGTAGTTTAAACAGTGAGTAGCACAAGAGCAGAATGGTTAAGAGCAGCAAGGAACCTGAATCCAGATGGCATGGGTTTGAATTCTACCTCTAATACTTAACATGTGGCTTTGACCATACTATATATTATCCCTGTGTCTCTGTGTTACAGCTAATGAAGTTCTAAGTAAAATGCTTACAAATATTGGCATATAATGATGTGAGTTTTAGCTATTATTTCTCCATGCAAATGCAAAATTTCAACTGGAAACACAACAGTGATATTAGTAAGTCAAGAATAATTTATTATAATCTTATTGTGATACAGTAAATTTTGTAATAGCAAATCAGATGATTATTTCTAAATTCTTATGTTTACATTAAAGAAAATTAATTTTCAACTGTATTATCCACTTTTATTTTGGCTTCACCAAATACAGTGTCTTAGGCATGTTAATCTTTTAGGTCTTGGTTTCCTCATCTATAATGGGGATAATTATAGTACCTACCAGAAAATGTTAAGAGAATTAAATAAGTCAAATAATGTGAAGCACTTTAAAAAGTTAATAGCAAATAATAAGTACTCACTATGTTTTAGCTAATATTGTAAGTATTATTTCTTCCTTCAATTACTAGGAAGCAGAATATAAGTGTGTATGTGTGTGTGTGTGTGTGTGTGTGTGTAAAACCATACAAGTAATGAGGGTCACAAATATAAGGAAATACAGCGTTACCTTCAGACCCAATAGGTATAGATGACATCAGGGAACTATACAATGGCAAAATATTAAATAATCTAAATATTTCTAAGTCGTACCTTGCTCATCTAAATAAATAAGGGATTTCTATTAGATAACAAAAATCCCTTTCAGTTTCCAATTTTAGGAAACCATGGCATACTATAGAGTTACTAGTAACAACTGACTATACCTTTTAAAAAGATTTAATTTTATTAGCCAGGATGAAAATACTTCCTACTTTGTATTTTCCCAGAGAAAAGTTTAAGTAAGTGGCCTAGTAGGCTTTCTCACAAACCTATTTCAGCCTTAAAGAGCTGAAATACAATTCTCTATGCTAAAGTAGTTTCAGAAGAAAATATTTAAAGTAAGTTTTTCTATACAGTCTCTTGGCAGCTCAAATAAAGAAAACATTTGGGACATCTAAAAATATAACCATTTTAAAAATAGCTACATCAAAAATATATTTAAAAAAATAAAAATAAAATAAAAATATAACCAAAAATATAATTAAATGATTTTTAAATTAAAAAGCAAAATTTTAATCTTAAACATAATCTTAATCTTAACTCCTATATCAGGACATCATATATGGAAAATTAGATAAATTGTTAAATAAGTGTTGATGGATAGCAAACTAGCTCTCTTGGCTAGTACAATGTCAATTTTTTAGCTATTCAATTACTCCTGTTTTTCCTTTCATTAAAAGAAAATAATAAACATGTTTTCAGCTTAGACAAAGTAATTTTAAATATCGCACCGAGAACAGACATAGCTTCATAAACTATAGAGAAAAAAAGATTTGTTTAAAGATATAGAAGGACAGTCAAAGCTATCGGGACTTGAGGGACAAAATTTTTGGAAAGAAAGGAAGTGCATCAAGGTTACTGGATACCAGGTTAAAACTCAAAAGCCAATCGCTTTTTTTATACACGAAATATACCATGTTCATGGATTAGATGTCCTAATATTTGTAAAGAAGTTAACTGCACTCAAATTGATCCATAGATTGAATGTAATCCTAATCAAAGCCCCAACGTTTTTATATAGAAATTTAACAGTTGGTCCTCCTTAGCCCTACATAAAACTACAAAGAACTAAGAATAATCAATGCAATCTTAAGGAGAACAAAATTAGAAGACACCCCAGCAGATAATAAGATCTATAAAGCTGTTGTAATTAGTATGAGATTAGTCAAATAGAAAAAATCGAATGAATAGAGAGTTTAGATCAGCTGTGGGCAAACTACGGCCCTCGGGCCGGATCCGGCCCGTTTGAAATGAACTAAAAAAAAAAAAAAAAAAGACCGTACCCTTTTATGTAATGATGTTTATTTTGAATTTATATTAGTTCACACAAACACTCCATCCATGCTTTTGTTCCGGCCCTCCGGTCCAGTTTAAGAACCCATTGTGGCCCTCCAGTCAAAAAGTTTGCCCATCCCTGGTTTAGATACAGATCCATAGGAATGAAGTCAGGCTCATCATTAATGCCAAAGATGCTGCTGCAGTGCAGTGAGCAAATTATAGTTTTTTCAATAAATAATGCTGGATATCCATATGGGCAAATGTGTATCTTGATCCCTATCCTCACACGACTTACAATAATCAATTCCAAATGGAACTAAAAGTGGAAGGTAAACCAATAAAGGTTCTAGAGGACATCTTTGTAAGAACTGTATTTTCATGATGATCGAGTCAACAAAAAATTCTTAAACAGAACATAGCACCAACCATAAAAGAAAATACTGTAATATTAGATTTAATTAAAATTAAGAATTTCTGTTAATCAAAAGATAGCACGAATTAAACACAGACTACATAAGGGGAGATAATATAGGCATAACTTTTATCTGAAATAAAGACTCAATCCAAAATACATAAAGGAACTATAAATGGTTAGAAATAGACAGACAAACCAATTTAAGGGGAAAAAAAATCATCAAAAGAGTTAAACAGGCATTTCATAAAAGAAGGTACCCAAGTGGCAATAAATTATGAGAAGAGGCTCAGCTCAACCTCATTAACCATAAGGAAATACAAAATAAAATCATCACATCTGTCATAAAGGATAAAAATGAAAAATAAATCCTGACAATACAAAGTCTGAGTAAGGAAGTGGAGCAACTGAAACAATCATACAATGCAACAGCTCATATATCTATTCTGTAATATTGTTTGGCAATATCTAATTAAAGCTAAACATGTACATAATTAATAATCAAAAAATTCCATCCCATTTTATACCCACAGAAACCCATACACTAAAACATGCACAAAATGTTCAAAGCATTTTTATCTGTAATAGAAGAAAACCAGAAACAACCCAAATATTCATTAATAATAGGATGACTATATTGTAGTATAGTTATTAAATGGATAGGGATATTATACAGCATTAATAATGAATGAACTACTGCTAAATGCAACAATATGGATGAATCTTACAAACGTAATGTGGAACAAAAAACGCTAGATGCAAAATAGCACATGCTTAAGATTTCCTTTTTATAAAATTTAAAAAGAAGGAACACTAATCACGGTGACAGAAGTAAAAATATGGTTACTTTTACAGGAGTTGATAATGATGTGGAGAATACCTGAGAGAATGCCAGGGCGCTATAAATGTTCTACCTCTTGATCTGGATGATGGTTACATGGAGGTTTTTAAAATTACAAAAATTCTCTGCATACTTTTGGTTTGTGCAATTCTATGCATGTGATGTTTCAATCTTAAAAATTACTTTAAAAAATTGCTCTAGTGTGCAAACAAAGGAGGAAATGGGTAAAATACCAAAATTAGGATTTAATTCTTCAGAGTCAGCCAGCAGAACCTTTTATGGAGTTCAAAACCATTCCCCAGGAAAATATATTTAGAGATAAGATACCAACATACATACGTGGCCCTCTAATCAAATATACATGCGTGAGCTTAATCTTTGAGAATATTACAGAGATGATTTAAACAGAATCCTGATGCTCAGAGATCATAATCTGGTAGAAATTCAGTTGTAAGTACCTTGAATAAACTTGGTATTTAAGTTTATTTATCTATGTGATATTATTTAAGTTTACTTAACAAACCTGAATTCTCACTACATAAAATGTGGTCCATTGTCAGCCTTTAAATTTCTTACACAGTAATATCACTTCCCTGGTACAGTATTTTCACAGATTTTCTATTGTCTGAAAAGTTAATATGTGAATATAATAAAAATGTTGGATAAATAATTTTCTCATAAAGGGTCTATTATATGACTAGTTTGAATCTTGACTCACACAAAGAATCTGTTAAATGTTTTTATGAAATCAGGAAAACTTGAATCTATTATTGAATTGTTGCTAATTTTTTAGATGTGATAATAGTTTTATGATTCTATTTTTATTTTATTTTTTAAAATATATTTGTATTGATTTCAGAGAGGGGGGGAGAGAGAGAGAGAGAGAGAGATAGAAACATCAATGATGAGAGAAAATCATTGATTGGTTGCCCCCTGCACACCCCCGATTGGCATCAAGCCCACAACTGGGGCATGTACCTTTGACCAGAATCAAATCTGTGACCCTTCAGTCCACAGGCTGATGCTCTATCCACTGAACCAAACCAGCTAGGGCAATGATTCTATTTTTAAACAGAGTCCTTATCATTTAGAGATATACACTGAAATGGTTATAGATGAAACTACATGACATCTGAAATTTGCTCCAAAATAATCCCAGGGACAGGGAGATGACAGTGGGTCGTAGCTGAAATGAAAGTGACGTCGAGTTGATGAATGTTGTAGCTAATGAATGGATTGCAGAGGGGTGGGGATGTATTTGTATTATTTTCAAAACTTTAGGATACATTTTAAATTTTCCACACCAAAAAAAAAAAGCAAAACTATAATCAAATGATTAATTTTGGAAGTCTTCTCATCTAAGAAAATGCTAATGTATTCTCTGGACACAAGACATTTGTTTGCAAAATTCATGACATGTTCACCTGCACCTGCCTGTCACACCACTAAATCACAAGGATGCCATTGTCAGAGAGAAACAATAACCTGTCAATGCTGGTAGAAAAACAGAACATCATTGAAAAACAAACATCACAACTTAGTAGGTGCATGTTTTCAACCACATAGAAGTAATCGCCCTCTAATCTTCATGGAGTGATAGAAAATGGAAAACCCTGGAAATGGCACTAGGGTATCAGGTAATTTTCCCCTTCATGAATTACAATTTACATAAGAACTACATATTGTAAGAAATACTACATCGCGGGACAAAGAAACTAAGGCTATTGTGTTTTAGCTTCATTCAATAATGAAGGCTCAACTTCAAAGACAGTATCATGAGTAAATTTTTTCTCATTACCTTAACATTATACCGAGGTTGAGAATTCATATAATCAAAAAGCATCTGATAATTCTTGAACTGATGATCCCATTCCGTGCGTTCAACATAGCGGAAATCATCTCCTAGTGGGGCCAGGAGCACTGTAGTGCGGAAAAGTTTTGACTTCTTTCGGTACTGATCCAGAAGCATCTCAGCCCTACAGAAGTAAAAAGGGAAAATATTAATAGTATTAAGGAATAAACTATGGGACAACTCATTAAAAAATATTATATCAAAAGAAATGGTCTATTTTACCTATCTCCTAGGTTAGTATAATTTAAGGGGCAGATGTGTTTAAACTACCACACTAATTTTCATTATCCACTTAAAATATTCGTATGTTCTTATCAGATGTAAAAACTCCGCATAGAAACAAAGTCATATAATTACATTGGCATATAATTACTGGGGCATCAATGCCCTGCAAAGGCCAGGCAGAGAGATGGGATCCCAGATAGCTGTGTTTTAAAATAATGTATCCAAAGGGGACATATGTAATACTTTCAACAATAAAGATTTAAAAAATAAATAAAATCACATAACAAATTATCAGGGAAAAAAATAAAATTATGTAGTCTAGGAAGACAATAAGGATATCTCATCTATAAGAACTTTGATAGTAATATCTCTTTCTCTAATTTAACCTAAAATTGCCAGATTAAACATTAAAAAGTATATTTTGAATGAAACCAATTATGGAGCCATATTTCCTTTCTAAAGGAAACAATCAATTCAGTTAACACCTGCCATCAATAATCTGAGTATTATTTTCCATGCTGTCTTCAATACTGAACAACAGATAAAGCTTAAGACTTGAGTGAGCTGTTTTGGTTTCTACCTCCCTGGGCTCTAGCCCATGACTCAAAAAGTCAGTTAACCACAATTCATTATGTTTTATATTTCATATTCTAGTATTCTGCAGAAAACCCTTTGGAAAATGCTGAACTGGGTACCATTTGAGGAGGCCTGAGAATACAAATTAAGACACGGGCTTATGAAAAGGAAATTAAACAAGCAGATGAATCAGAGTAGTTCTCCACGTTTATAATACCAAAGCTCAAGAAATTAATGGTAAATTACAAATATGCTTTTTTACCCAGTATTTCAATTTTCACTTCAAGAGTTATCCAGAAGTAAATCCCAATTCACAATATAAAAACTTATGAAATAAACTTAAATAACATCAATGATAGAAAGAAGCATTTTATAGAAATTATGAAAAACCATTTAACTACATTGAGAATCTCAAATGATTTCTTTACCTTGATACTCAGAAATTGCTTTACAAGTATTAAATTATTAACCAAATTTTAATAACTTGATAAAATATAACCATAATGTTCATAGATAAAACAATGCTTAGTTTTCTGAGATTAGCATTACTCGAGTACTTATTTTTTACAACTAATTTACTAATATTCCAAGTTTACCAAAAACAATTTTAGATTACTCACAATTAAAAAATACATCCAAAATAATCACATTGAAAGAAATAAGAGACTAAAACAAATATATAACTCACAAATATATGATATACTATGATTGACCATTCAACCAGATCCTTCAGTCACAGCATAAAAAAAGGATATGTGATTTTTAATGCATACGACCATGTGTTTTTAAAACACATAAAAGGAAAGGAATCAGGAACACTAATGATGTGTCTTTTCCATTCAGCAACTATCCTAACTTTCAAGCTTTTGCTCAGAAAGTGTCAACGATAGGAAAGCCAAGGAACCAGCCTATACCACCTGGCAGAGTGGATACTCACTAAATATATGGTAAACTAATGACAAATGAATTGACCAACATCACATTTGAAGATGTGCAGCTACAATTTGCTCCTCACTTTTTCTACCAGGAATGAATGTCAACTAAACTAGAAACAAGAGAAAAAAAAATCCTGAAACATTCCATCTGACATGTAAATCATCATCACATGTAAAATACATAGTACTAAACCAAAAATTGAAATTGATGGAGAATGGCCTTTCTTTATTTTCAAAGTAAAGGAACCTGCTCAACTGAATGTATCAAATGTGTCACCTGTATATTATAATTAAACTTCATTTTATTTAGGGTATTAGAAAGTCAAGTACAACTAAGCTGGGTTGTCTGTGTTTGATTTCCATCACAAAGTCAAAAGGAAGGTAATATTTGAACGTGAAATAACCAACAGGTTTAAGATTTCAAGATTTATAAGAATTTTTAAATCTACATAAATATTATATAGATTCATTCATCTATATGAACCCAGGTACCTGGAAACTACTTTCAGAATCACTGGAACTGAATGAGCACAAGGTGTGTTCTTGAAGGGTTAGAGAACACAATAAAAGGATTACACAAAATGCCTCTCAGGTATTCTCAGCATCACCCAAAAAAGAAAAAGAAGGGGCTCATAATAGCTATAGGTGCACTTGGATTCTACAACTGCTATACCCTTCAAGTAATTCCCCATCCCTGACCACCTGAGCTGAGGGGACTATTGTAAATACCTGATTCAATGACAGAGCTGTTTCTCAAGTAGACAGGCAAGTCACCCCTGGCCCCACCTCCTCTCCCTACATAATATACTGAACTATTTTCTCATGCCTAATCAGCCTAACCCCTGAAAGTAGGCTGTTCAATGGTTCTCACTGCTGTAGGCACCAAGAAAATGAATCAAGATTAATCTCTAATCTTGGGTAGTTTCTCAAAACAACTATGAAAATCAGATTTTGATGGAAAGGATCCATGGCTTGAAGGAGGCTGTCATGCTAAATATTTTTATATTTGCCAGAGAGAGAGGTTCACACTGCAGTAATTTCTTTATGACCACAAGGACTTGCTCAAGGCAAAGAGACACAATCTCACCTTCCTCCTCACACACATTGAAAATGTAATTTTTAAACATACATTTTCCAGAGGACAGTACAAAGATATTTCTTTATTTAAAAGGCTGTATTATTTTTTTTAGCAGAGTTGACTGGTTTATATTATAACACAACATTTCATTTTAATTTATTATATGCCACTAATTTTTAGTGGAGAAATTAAATTTTAAAAGCATCAAAATAAGACCTATAGAGAACTTATTTATTAACCCCATAATTAGCAAAATTTTCTTTAAAATATGTTCAATCCTTTGATATTTATTTAAATATCTTTAAGTATAAATATTTCTAATTAAGTTCTCTATAATTCAAAAACATCACAAAGGTGCAGAGATGTATATGCATCAGGGCTGGGCCGCATTCACTAGTATTGAAATTGTTATTAAGGGAACAAATAATTACACTTTTATTTGCTCCATTTCAATAAATGTGTTTTTGCAGTTGGGTTGCTTTTCTTACCAATTTATACAATAGGGACCAGAAGTTTTATTATCAACAAAAGTACTAGTATATGAAATCAATCAAATACAGTAGAAGGCTTTTATAAGGAGGGCAAAGGAGATGGTAATAACAGTTCATTACAGGCTATCTATTTATTGTATATTAATCTACTATTGTTCACTTTCCATTAAGTTGTAACACAGAACAGGCATCGTCAAGGCTCTGGCATTTTTGAGTTGCTTTAATTTGGTTTGAATTAATACCATGAATGAGGACAATATTGGCTACTGAAGCCCATTTATTCAACCCTTCAGCAACAAGCAACTAATGCTTGCTTGTTCAAGATGTTGTTTTATGAAATGCATTATTTTCATACCTGTTTTGGACATTTCCAAGATTTATTGTTTCTGGGGGGACTCCCCAGGGACAACCAAATCTGCCTCCAGGAAGCCGTTTAAAATCAAACTGGCAGCATATTTTAGGATCAGGTCCGCAAGTGTGAGGGATGTCATAGCTGTAGAAGGGCATCATGTGGCAAAAAATATCTGTGATAGATCCCAGATCTAAAATAAAGAGTCAACAGACAAACCTGCATTTATAAACTTTGTTTTCCCAAAACTGTTAAAAATGCCAGTACTTTATACTTATATAATGCAAGCTCTGCCCTAAATCAACTCCTTCAACTACTTGTACATATACCCCAGTAGTACTGAATGACCACCAGCCTAAAGGAAGAGACTCATACCTCAATCTCTATTTACCTCTTATATCTACACTTAGCAGATACAGAAGAGCCTCACCATGAACTAGCATTTGCTGACCTGGATGATACAAACGAAGCAGAAGCAAAATTTTAACTAGCTCATCCAACATTATGGCCATGTCCATGCCTGGCTGCCAGCTCCTGACACATCTCTTCCCACCTCGGGTAACAGAGAGAGACCAATAGCTGCAGAGGCTGGATGTGGAGATAGGAAGTAAAAGGGGGAACAGAAAGAACAAAGAAAGGGGGTGGGGGGAGTTATGAGAATACTGGGCAAATTCCTATCCACTTCTCCAGTAAGAAGTGCAACCAGGAGAATTAGTGAAGTCCTTCCAAAGCTCACCAATAAAGAGCCAATGGGACTTTTCACCCAGAAGGGAAAGGAGCAGTAATTTTCAAAAACAAAACAAACAAACAAAAAAGATATGGAGAACAAATACTCAAACACTGATTCCTGATGCAGAATTGTTTATAATTAAAATGTTAATGCCAGCAAGGTGTTGATGTAATTGCCCTTGAGTTCAGAAGCCCACCCAGTGAGATTGAGGAGTTAAAAGTGGTTATATTTGCATGATCCTGATGAGTAGCTAGTTCTCCCCCTTTAGTTAGGTATGGATTTCTATTTTCAGAAATGGGTATATGTTGCTTTCATAATATAGACAAAAGAAAGCAACATTTGCATTTTAAAAAGGAAAATTACTGCTCATTAAGAACCAGGACACACAAAGCAGCTCAATTTAATTCCAAAATATAATTTTAAAGCAGCACATTCAACTCTACCAGATAAGTCCTAAAATATTTCAGTTTTACCTCACACTCCATTTAGCTTAAATAATTGCAAATTCTTTTCCAAATTTCAAAGCTGTTATAATCTGTATTAATTCTGTGTTGTCAGTCCTTTCACTAAATCACATCTTGTGACACCATGGATGTTGGTCACTAATGCTTGCTATCTGCACAGGGGTTGTCCCAAGTATCAGAACTGATGGAACTTCCCTCTTTCTTCTAGGATCAAGGATATATTCACCCCACTCTTTCTTCTCACACCATACTATTTAGCAGCCCATTTACACGTTTTCTTTTATCTGCTGCATTTGGTGTTGTTTGTTTTTATCAAAAGAGACCATAATTTCCTTATAGAAAAGGATGTTTTTTGAACTTCCTCCAAGCAGGTTTAACTACATAATAGTGCTCACTAATTTCCTAATGACTAATATTTACAGGCAATTGGCATGTATGCAACAGTTTAAGCAGGGCTCCTTCAATTACTAATTCTTTTTTAGAAAAATGAATATGCTCCTTTGCATTTGATAAAACTCCCTACAAGTTCTTGTTTTCTCTACAGATTTAATTTTCCAAAATAAAAAAGTATATAGTTAATTATTTCCTTATTGAAACACAGCAGTACATACAAGAAAGTTACTATCTAGATTTACAAATGATTTTTCTGAAACACTTAAGAGGGGGTCTAGATTACACTGGGAAGCAAGAATGCTGTAATGCAGTAATTTCTGAACATTGCTTTAGCAACTAAATACTTTTTCAGATGAAATCTGACTAAGCACTCTGTAGTGGGAAGGCAGTATATGCTGTGGGTTAGGAGTTTAGGCTTCAGAACTGATTCAAATCTTATCTCTGTACCTACTACCTGTATGACTTTTGGAAAATGGCTTCACATCTCTAAGCCACCATTTCTTCACTATACAAAAGGGATAATAATAGACCCTAATTTAAAGAATTATTTTGAAGATCTAATGAAAAAGTTAATATAATGCACATGACACAATGCATGACCCCTAATAAAGACTCAATAAATATAAAATAAACTTAAAAATAAGATGTTCTAAATTTTAAATGGGGGTGGGAAAGACAAAGGCCTACAAAGAGACCTAAATCTTGTCTCCTTTCACCCAACAAAGAGCTGCAAAAGTATGTCCCTAGAACGTGTGAATGCCCATAAAACACAGTAAGAAAACAAGCAATATAGGTAATAGGAGAGCTGATCTAGGAGGATAGTATTAAGGTTTTAAAAGGCAGTTCTTACTAGATGCAGAGACAGGAGAGAGAGAAAGAAATACTAGCTGAATATGAGATAAGTGACTTGGTATTAGTTGTAATGCATGTTCAATTGTGATAAAAATAGGTGCTTTTAAAAATAGAAGTGAAAACATGATTTGCAATTCAAATTCCTTCTATTTATTTATTTTCTTTATGCATAAAAAAGAACCTACAATGTTCTATAGATAAATATCTCCACCATTGCTTAAAAGAATTTCCACACAAGTACTCTGTAGAAATAAGAATGTGTATTTCAGGCAACCTGATTTTAAAGACTGGCACTCTGAATAAAATCCATTATGGCAGGAGTTCATAACCCTTGTGAAATAACATCTAGGTCAAGTGAGCTCTTCAACTTTCATCAAACCCTACATACCCCAATTCTGTCTCCAAAAAAACTCCAGTGTTTTATGCAATGCAAAATGCTTCTTAACTGCATAATGAACTCTCTGGATAAGCATGTGAGAAAATCCAGCACGTTTTAGAAGATAAGCCATTGTTGGTGAATGTCCAAAAGGATCAATAGCCCAACCAGACCGAGGTTTCACTCCTGTTGAAAAAGAAAATAAGCATTATTTTGTTTTAAGTTAAATGAAATAAAAAGAGATCACAACACATTAAGACCCAGAGTTCCATGGTCTCCTAGATGCTAAGACAAAGGAACTGCCCAGCATTACCCATTAGGAACATTTCCAACAGGTCTCTCTGAAGGGAGGATTCTGCCACTGCCATGCCCTTGCAGGCTGGGGAAGCAAACTGGAAGTTAATCAGTTGGAGCAGAAATAAGCACTCTGTTGTCTTATAGGTAGAGAACTATTGCCATTCAATGCAGCTAGAGAAACAAACAGAATTAAGTCCTTTCTCTAGGATCTCACATTCCTGTCTTTGTGAAGCTGGATAACCCAGCAATCTGCTGTTATATAATAAAGATAAGTATGCTAACTCATTTCAACTTGTACTCCCAAATCCCAACATTAAATATTTAGGCCATCTTTTATACCTTACAACTGCTCCAAATTATCTTATTATACAGTGGCAGGACCGACCAAAATAACTTAAGATTTAATACTTTATTAAATCTTAAGGGCTTTTTTGCATTAAATTTTTTTCAATTAGTTTACTAGTACATTCAAGATTTTTCTGTGTATTAATTTTAGATGTACAACATAATGATTACACAATAATGTACGTTACAGAGTGATACTCCGATATTTCAAAAACCCACCTGGCCCCATACATAGTTATTATGATATTACTGACTATATTTCCCACGCTGTAATTTACAACTCAAACTATTCTGTAACTACCAATTTGTACTTTTTAATCCTTTCACCTTTTTCATTCAGTCTCCCAACCCCCTTCCCTCTATCAATAGTCAGTCTGTCTCTTTGTTTTTGATGCTGGTGCTTTAGATGTCACTGGAATTTTTCACATATGACTGCCACCAATATTAAGAGCCATCGACTAAAGATCTCAACTTCAGAGGATAAAAAGTAAAATAAATAAATATTCTAATTAGAATTGATGAAATAAATTATCTGAGGTATTATACATATCTGATCGGTTATTTATTCAGGATTCTTAAAGGCAGCTTCTACATACAATCTATAAATCAATGTAACTAATATTACTGCGTGTATTTTCTCACATTCCTGTCTAGCACCTGTTTAGTACCTTCCATATATTTAAGACTAAGAGAGGCCCTAGGATTACAAAAATGAATTAATCTTAGTTCTGACTCTAGTTGCAGACACTATCATGCAAATAGGTGTAACACAGAATAACAGAAAAGATTGCAGTGGAAAGACCTCTATAGAACAACTAGAGGCCTGATGCATGAAATTCATGCCCTGGGGGGGTGTCCCTCAGCCCAGCCTGTGCCCTCTCACTGTCTGGGACACCTAGGGGGATGTCCACCTGACGGCTTAGGCCAGATCCTCCACTAGGGATACTGCAGTCAGACATCCTTCTCATAGTCTGGGGCTCTCATAGTCCAGGACCCCTTGCTCCTTACCTCCCTGCCTGCAGCGGAGGCAGGAGAGGCTTTCACCACTGCCACTGTGCTTGCCAGCCATGAGCCTGGTATCTGGCTGAGCAGTGCTGCGTTGAGTGTCTTCCCCAATGGTCAGTGCACCTCTTAGCGACCAGTCATTCTGTTGTTCAGTCAATTTGCATATTAGGGTTTTATTATATAGGATACTGGAAATGAACACCAAGATGGGAACCCAGCAAATGAGACTGAAAAGTCAGAACCCTCAGAGGACCAAGAGTATGTGTCAGAACTTAAAAAACTGACCCAATAAGATTTGTGTATTTCATATGTAATTTACTTCCAAAAACTGTAAAGAAATTTTGAACTCTGCTTAGAATTTATTGGTGTGTGGTGGTACTGGTTCGACAATTCTGAAATTACCTTTCATGTATTCAAAGAGTAAACAAATTAGGATGAGGAGGCCAGAATTTTACTGTTAAGAAAGAGCAATATAAGCATGTATATGGGAGACTGGAATGCACCCTATGATATTGAATTAAAACAGGAACTATCAGTACTAACTTAGGGTTTTAAATACAAATGTATGTGCACACACTTCCTTGCTTTGTACACTACATGGGCCTAGAAGAAGTTAACACCTCAGTGCCAATGAGCACACTACAGCTTCCAGGTATGGGTCTCTAAATACCATGCTCTATTAAAACTTAAAGAAATAGTTTATTCCAGGGCTGAGGCTGGGAGTACAAAGTAAACCTGGAAAATATCCTTTTTTCTTTTTTTAAATCTTTATTGTTCATACTAGGGGCCCGGTGCACGAAATTCGTACACTGGGTGTGTGTGTGGGGGGAGTGTCCCTCAGCCCAGCCTGCCGCCTCTCACATACTGGGATCCCTCAGGCGTTGACCCCCATCACCCTCCAATAGCAGGATCGGCCCCTTGCCTAGGCCTGACGCCTCTGACAGAGGCGTCAGGCCTGGACAGGGGACCCCCATCTCCCCCCGATCACTGGCTCTGGTCTAGCCCAGGGCTGATGCCTCGGCCAGAGGCGTCAACCCCCATCACCCTCCGATCGCCGATTCAGCCCCTTGGCCAGAGGCATTGAGCCCCATCACCCTCCACTCGCAGGATCAGCCCCTT